CATTCAAATCGAATATCAAATGCTAAAACAGCGTGCTCCAAAGGTTAGTCTGAAATGTTGTCATGATAGCAAGCTTGCGCTACAGCACATGATAGTAACACCATGACACAATGCACAAGGAGGGATGAAGTTACTCTATGCCATCCACCGCGATAGACAAGGCAAATTTTGGTATTTTTCATATTGTTCTGTTATTGTTTTTAAAAGTTGTTTATGATTTTCATGCTTTTGTTATCTCGTATAATTTATTTTAAACTATAATTTAAACTCAAACATCTTTTTAAAAAGGATTTTTTTGGAATCTCATCATTTTAAACTATTTTATTTCTAAACCTTTGAGTTGTGATAATTTTTTTTAAGGATTAATTAATCATGGTTATCACAACCATGTATTAAAATGTTATCCTGATAATGTCAAGGTGAACATTTCAAAAAATAAAAGTAAAAGCAACTTTTTTAAAAGTTGACTTATTTAAATTAAAGATATTTTTTAACAAAAGCTAAAGTAACTTTTTCCTAAGATAACTTGACAAAATCAAAAGCAAATTCTCACACAAATAAGTTGTAAATACACTTTATCAATTTGTAAATAAACAGGATTTGAGGTTTGAAAATATTTTATGTATTTTTTAGAACCTCTTGATAATTAAATTTGTTTTGTGATGACCTAATTGTGATTTTTCTTATTATTTTTCACTAAGTTAGCATATGATGAACTACTTTTTAAACAAACAATTACCCCACTTCCTTCATATTAGAAGCACAAGTTTACCAAAAATAAATAAATAACTAAATATAAAATATATATTTTATTGAATATTATAAAATACTTTTGAGCAAATTACCTTCGAATAGATTAATTAATTATTTTTAAAATTATACACTATTTTCATATTTATCTTTATTTAATAGAGTGTCTCAATTAAAAATATCTTATTAAGTACACTCTTAATTAAAAATGTTTTTGAAGAAATCATATTAATCATGACGTAAAATGTTTTATATTTTTTAACATTATATTTTAAAAAATGTCTGAATAAGTGAATAATATTTTCTCATTTTTTTGGAAAATCTACAATATTGAAATTTAAAACATATAATAATTTCTGAATTGCATAAAAATCCTCTCTAAGTCATGCATAAATAATCCGTTGACTTTCAAAGCTTACGATAATTTTTTTTTAAATTATGCGAATTTTAACACCGTTGTCTATTAATTTTCTGTTAATTAACGACGGATCATGGAAAATTGCAGGGGGAAAATGCTAAATTTAAGAAGAATTATTCACATAAAAATACTCTTTTTTTCCCGTCAACTAATGATGGTTTAAAAGTCAAGCAAGAAAAAACGTACCAAGACATTTGCCTTGATGATGGTGTCACGTGTATGGCCCAAGGCAGAGTCGTCTTCTTCAATTACAGAAAGCATGAAGTCAATGAAATCCTGCTTCTCACTGAACTCTTTCTTCTTCACACGATGCTCTTCAACCCAACTTGACGCCAGAGAATCCAGATCATTCGCAATCCTCTTCATCGATCTCAGTACCTTTCCTTCACCACGAAACCATCCCAGAAACGGAATCAAATCTGAAGGAACAAATTCTCCAGAAATATGCATGAAATCCTTTATCAGCTTCACAACCCTACGTGCCTCTTCATCATCCACATCTCGCAAATTCCCAAAATACCTCTTCCCTGCAATCATCTTCGTGATTACGTTCAGCGTCAATCGCTCCAACCACTCGCTAATCACAACCCTACCTTTATTATTACCATCTCCGACGATGTACGAGTACAGATCGCCGATGAAAACATCGATCTCAGATTCATACACATGCCTCAGTGATTCCAGTCGCCGAGCCGATAGTAGCTCGAGCATGACGAGCTTCCTCAATTTGCGCCAGTACGGGCCGTCGGGCGCGAACCCGAACCCGGCGAAGTTGTAACCGAGGTAGACGCCGTGGCTGGATCTCGGGCGACAGGCTAGGGTTTTGTCGTTGGTGGTGAAGCAGTCTTTAATGGCGTCTTGGCTGCTAACAACGAGGGCAGGGAAGGCTCCGAGTCTGATGGTGAAGATGGGGCCATACTTGTCTGCGAAGGAAGCTAAGGTGTGAGCAAGAGGAGCTTGAGCTCCAAGAAGATGAAGATGACCTAAAAGGGGTAAGGCTCCTGAAGGTTCTGGTGCTACCATGCCTTTGGTTGTGTGGTTTGGTGAGTTTTTCTGAGCTCTGATGATCCATACAAGTAGTGACAAAAGAAGGATTGAAATTGCTGTTATTGTTGGGAGAGAAAGAAGATCCATTATGGTTTCTCTCATGTATTTGAAGCTTTGAGAAGATGATAATCCTTGATTTTTGTATCAATTGCTATGTCAACGTTTATTAAAGGAAGAAGACGACGACCACGACGACGACCATTACATGGCAAATATTGTCTAATTCAAAGGTACGTGATAAATGGAGGAAAACGACTTGCCACACAAATGGAGGACAGGTGGACGAGATGGATAAGGAGAAGAGGGTAAGAAATCGGAATGAACCACATTTAAGTTGAACTAGATCTCCTTCCTAGTATAATACTAGAAAGTTTGTATTTTAATTCATTTATCTTAATGAAATTTGATCATTACTTGAACATAAAGAAAGAGGGGGTGAGAAAATGACGGAAAGATTAAACATTGAAGAGATCATATGAGGCGTCAAAAATGAGGATGACTTGGAACCTAATGGGATTATTGATTTGACAAACGGGATCGAAATTTCATCACTTTCGACGGTCTTTTTAAGTCTTTTATGATGCCTAATAAAAAAATGATAATTTAAATAAGCCTCGTTACATCTAGTATCCTAAATTTGCTTCATTTTGACTATAGAGGTGACTTTAGTTAGGTCCAAATTAATCCAGATCAAGGTAGATTGGGACCCTTTTTTACTAGAAATTCTGTCACCAACACAGCTACATCCTCAAATTTCGAAATTCTGTTTGCCATCAATTATCAACTACAACTAGGCAGGGTGTTATCTCTTACACCATGAGCTTTGTATAGGTGGTCTCTCATACACTTCAGCAACAATAATACGTCACATGAACGCTGGTAAAAAAAAAAATGTCATATGAACAAATTGTGCAAAAATTACACAAAATAGATTGTAAATTATTAGATGGAAACGTAGATATGGATAAGTTTAACTCAAGTCCTCCTCCAATATTTGCAAATTAAAGCACATTTAATTACTAAATGTATACATATCTTTTAGCAATGACTCAAGGCCTGTTTAAATAACTTTCAAAAATACATTCAAACTGCATTTGGAATATAATTTTGTCAAATCCAACAAATAGTTGAATCTCTCATATGTGCTTTTGCTAGATGTAAGCTGAAAATTATTTAGTTTTGAGTTTGTTAAAAATTCATTTAGCAAAAATTAGTTCAGTGAAAATCATTTGTTGTAACAAAATTTATATTTGAATATATTTTTAAAAAAATTAGTTTAATAAATTGAAATTTATTTGGATTGATGATGATTTGTACTTTTAAAATATACTTTTAAATATACATTAACCAAAAATAATATTAATGTATGATAATTTGTAACTTTTGTTATACAAATATAATATATTAAAAATGTTTAAAAAATGTAAAATAACATAAAAGTTAATATGTTACTCCAAATATTAAGAATAAAAAATGTAAAGTTTAATATGTTGGAAAAATTATGTAATAAATAGTTTAACATTCATTAATATTAAGTAGTTACATGATTAATGGTTCAATCTATATAATGTATAATTTGATTTCTAATTAAATCACGAACCCTATTTATCTCTCCATTAAATGCCACACTTGAAATTGTACTTGAAATTAATGATGGAAAAGTATGCTTGTTAATATCATTGTGAGGAGATGACAAAATAATGAAGGGTAACATAGTCAAATATAAATTAGGTACGAATCATTAATGTCCCAACATCCCCATTTTATGTTTGAAAAGTACTCCCTCTCCCTCTAATCCTATTTATAAACCACTTTTAGCATGTTTTATCAGAATAAAAAAAATTAAACCTCATTAATTTTGTCTTAAAACTTAACAAATTTTTACTTTTACCCATAGTAAATATTTTTAAATCTCATTACTGATATTTTTATTCAAAGCATTTAATAAGAAAGAAAAATGTAAGTGCCCTATAAATAAAACTAAACTTTTTATTCTTTTCCTGCCCTATAAATTGAACCAAAGGAATAGAAAATTTGAGCATTCAAAAGTTCGCATTCAAAATACATTTGAAAAGCTCATTTGCTCTTTCAAATTGCACCTAGATAGCTTTTCACATTCCACAGGTGAGAAAGTTCTTTTAGAATGTGAAAAGTGACTCACCTAAAAGGACCCTTAAATATTTATCATATTGCGAGGCCTTCCATTAAATTTGAGCACTTATTTGGTTTGCCATGTCGTGAGAGGCTTGCTCTTTTGCTAAATTCAATTTTCATTGGTTATAAAATTTATTATTATTAATACATACTCCTTTTAGAGTTATTTATAAATTACTTTCAATATATTTCACTGAAATTAAAAAATAATTTAAAACTTATTAATTCTATTTAAAATTTAATAACTTTCCACCTTTACATCTAATAAAGATAAAAAAAATGTTTTTAATAACTTTTTCTAACATTTAATGAGGAAAAGGGTAAAAAGGTAAAGGTGAACATGAAAAATAGTGAAGTGCTTTATAAATAAGATCAAAGTTTATCTTCTTTCCTTGCTCTATGAATAAAAGCAGAGGAGTAATTTCATTACTTGATATTTCCTTATAATTTTCTCTTTTTCTAATTTTCTCAGTGGTCTTGAGCTTTTTTTTTTTTTTGGTAGAATGTGGATTTGAGACTGATGGTTGCTAACGGTAACGGGCTCAGGACAGGATGGAGAGAAACAGGCCCATAAAGATTTACAGTGTGATTATCGCAGTCTGCACGTCTGCTTCTTTACTCACCTTGAGCTCTCCTTTCGCGTACTGTATCTCTGTATGCCCTTCTAAGGTTTCTTGTTTCATCTCCACGCGAATATTCTTGATTAATGTAACCTATTGTCTTCATCTTGGCGCTGGCAAAATTACATATTTCGAACTCATAAAGCATTTACGAATTGAGCTTTTAGGTTTTTTTGTTCCCTTGAGGGTTTTACGTTTGTGTGTATGCTGGAGGGATAAAAAATGGAGGGGATAGGAAGAAATGATTTAATGAATATTTTCATTCTAAAATTTGAGGGATTAAGGGAAATAATTGATTTAGTTTTAATTTAATTTCAAGATCCTCACTACAAAAAATCACGCGTTTCTGCACTGCTTCAGTTCGCCGCTCTGCTTCTTTGTTGCATCAGCCTCCCTCTCGCCGTCACTGTCGCCGCTTCAGTTTGGCGAGGCTTTGATAACAGGTGAGCTTTCGATCTATTGCTCTAGTAGTTTAGAAATTTCTGCTGATTTAAGATCGCATGCCTTTTTCAAAACTGGTTTCAGCTGTCGTTGATTGGTTTGATTGAAAAACCACATGGATTCCTTTGGCTTTCAGTGGACATGATAATCTATGTTTGGAGTTTATGTCTGTCTCTTCTCTTTCATCAGTTATATTAGAGCTAAAATTTTGTCATTGCAATGAAGTGATTCACAGTTTCTTAAAGATGGAGACGATGTCCATTTGAATTTTTATGAATGCCATCATACCCAATTTGAAAACATCAATATCCTTATATAGAAATCATGTAAGTATATATCGGTTATGCTTAAATTCATGTCTAGCTTCATACATCTTTCCATTCTGTGGATTTTTTTTTTTTTTTGCTCTTTTTCCTCGAATATGGATTTACTAATAGTATGGGTTTTCTATGAAACTAACTACAGTAATCTTCCTCGCATATTTGGCATGACTGATTTTCCTGTTGGAGGTAAAGGTAAAATTTTTCTTCATTAAAATTAAATCACTCACATTCTCGACACCTTGCATTTGATCTAAAATATAATCAACAACTAGGTTGCCCAAATATGCCAATAAAACCACTTATTCCATATAGAATTACATGCAGAGATATTAAGTTAGAGGGAAGGTAAAATCAAAATTGGATTAGATAAATTCAGAGAATTTGGAGATAATGGTAAGCATTGTTTTCGAGTGACATCAATTTTCTAGCAAATAAATAAATAAATAAATATCATTGTTCAAATAGGACATCTCAGGTTACCTTTTGTTAGATACCTGTTAGTTATTTTGAGGGATTTGGTAGAGAGCAAACTCAAAGCTACAAAAGTAACTTGCATGCATGGTTAACATCATTTTGTGTTGGCTGTACTGATGTTGTTGGTTGTACTTTTGCTTTGGAAAATGCCTATGGAAATATTAATTAGCTTGGCTGCAGTGGCATTTACAAGTTAGATATTCCTTATATTTTTTGTGTGTATATTGTGTTAAGAACTTTGATTCTCAGTTGATTCTTATATGCTATGCTTATATCAGAAAAATCTGAAATTTGACTTAATCTGACTTTTTTCCCTTTCGTTGTAAAAACATGGCAAGATGATTTGAACATAGGACTTCTTGAAAACTTGTGGCTAGAATTTTTGTCCAAACTAGAACTAGAAGATTCGTATGCTATTTAGCTGTAACTCGTGGCATTTTTCTTTGATGGAACTAATAAGTTTGTTTTAATAGAATCTTGGCGTTCTGATAGCCCTAGCATTTGAGTTCATATTACCCTACTGATCATGTGATTCAATGGACATGAACCCCAGAAAATGCATTGGCTTATGATTGATGAGTTTTGGGTGGTGAAAAATGTCAGCTCAGATCTGTGATATTTTTGCAGATTTTACATACATATTAACGGAATTAGGTGGGTTAGTGCAGTTATGACAACCTCTCATCTTGCTAGTATTTTTTAGCTACTATATTGGTAAACAACACCTTATAATAACACCGCATTGAGCAGTCAGATACTAGTATGAAAAGGAGCCATGAGTAATTGCACCTTGGTCATTAGCATTTCCTATATTGTATAAAAACCAATTTCATTGTCCTTGCATCATAGTTAGACATTTTTCAGCTAGTATTACTAAATCCATGCTGTATAATTCTTTTCAAATACTGCTCTGATGCTTATGGGTGCCTTGGTTATAGCGCCCATTATGAATTTGGTATGTATCATAATTTTTTGTATTGTCTTTATACAAATTGGATGTAAATTTTATTTTTAATATTAGAATTATAATATTTCAGTTGAGATTTGTGAGATTAGAATTATGATAAATATGAGATTTGTGTAATACACAAGGCTAAAACTGTTGACATTTCTAAATTAAGAGTGGGATGAGTTGTAATATAATCATTCAAAAGACAAAAAAAAAAAATTGATTGGGGTATAACAGTCTATTTATTATTATTTTCCATGCCCTCTCCCTTCAAACCAAACAAGAGAATATTAAATCAAAATCGCCCTTCTTCACTCCGCTCTATTGAATTAAAAACTACTTAATTGATAGTGTTGATTCTATCACGTTTCTGTTATTTCCTGTTGTTTCATGTCCTTGATGTTTATATTTGCAATTTACTTTGTATATTTTGTTGAAGCAAATAGCATTACTAAAATTTATTAGGGGGGAAATAAGAACTTGCCTTTCTTGGTCTAGGAACAATAAATTGATATTGTTATGCATCATAAATACATTGGTTAAGGACGTCAGTTATTCACACAGCAATGCGAGCTGCTGTAATTCATGACCTTTCCGATCCAGTGGGCAGTACAAATAATTTAAGTGGATGAACTTGTTTATGAGGAGCTGTTCAATTGTTTATTCTTGCATTACTACTGAAAAATATTTAAAGACTAATATGTCAGGTTGAGATAATGTTACCGAATGCTTCTCTCCATATCTGATAGAAAAAAAAAAATGAAGGAACTTCATTTTCATTTATTGTAGGTACATTGAGAATCTCTGAAGTTGAATTGATAAAAACACTGATGGAACGGCAGGGTCGTGATTATGCATCTGCTTCTCCAGCATATGCTCAACAACAGCGACAAGCTGTAACTATGCAACAACAGCAACAATATGGATTTCATCCCCAACCTCAGCAGTTCCCTTCAACAGTGCATGGCCCTCCTTTTCTGCCCCCAGGTCCAGCACATCCTCCTATGCAACAATTCCCCTACCCTCACCCCATGCAGCAGCAGCAACTTCAACAATTACACCCCCATGCTCCTCCCCCACCTCCTCATCTTCTTCTTCAGCAGCAGCACCAAGCACCACCTGCTTTCCCTTCTCATTTTCCTCCTCCCCTTGTTCCGTCCCCCTTTCATGGTCAATACGAGTCTGCTCCACCCCCAGTTGCTCCTCCTTCTGATCCTGAGCTCCAAAAACGTATTGACAAACTTGTTGAGTATGCTGCTAAAAATGGTCCTGAATTTGAGGCCATGATACGTGAAAAACAACAAGACAATCCTTCCTATAGTTTCCTCTTTGGAGGGGAGGGGCATGGTTACTATCGTTACAAGCTTTGGCTGTCAACACGCCCTCCAGGTGGTCCTTTCAATCCACCTTTTCCACCATCTTCCATGCCTATGATTCATCCTCCACCAAATCCAATGATGAACCCATCTCCTTTAAATGCTCCCCCAATGAATGCTGCTGCAATTAGTTCCTCAGCTTCAATGCTAGGTCCACCTCAAATGAACCCACTTCCTTTCCAGCAGTACCACCATCAGCATCCTCAGCCTTTTGGGCTTCATGGTCGGGCTGATTATGATCAGGCATCCAAGTCCTATAAAGGGATCTCTGGCCCACTTCCATCTGATGTTGCAGTGGATCTCAATAATGTTCTTAGTAATCTAAATGGTACAAAAGAATCAATTAAAGGTGCCAAAATTTGGTTCATGCAGAGATCTGCATTTGCACCAGCTCTTGCAGAGGCACTTAGAGACAGAGTTTTCACGCTAGATGACATTGAAAGGCAGTTGCATATCATATATCTTGCCAATGACATACTTTTTGACAGGTAAAGTACATCATCATTTAACTGTTATGCAAAGTTTTTTGGCTGCCTTTTCGCAAATATAACTTATGTCTACTGCTTCTTTGTCCTTGAATGACAACAACTGTGCGCTATTAGACAATTGCAAAATAATTGCCTGTGGTCCTGCAGTCCTGTGCGACTTCTGGTGAACCTTGCTTTCCAGGACATCTACATGTTTGTGGTGTTAATGGGTATTTTTGTGGACTAAAATTGTAAAATCATTTTCTAATCAAATTTCCCTCAAGATCAACAGATAATATACTCTTCTGGAGAATTTTGCTTTTATTCAAATTTCCCTCAAAATCATTTTCTAATCATTTGTTTTCTAGAAAGGAAATGGAAAATGCACTTTATCTTATTTTCTTTTTAGGTGAATCTCTCATTTCCTTTCTAGAAAACAAATTTTCGTGTACCAAACATTCTATATATGTATTTTGGGTGATTAATCATCTGTTATCCAATACTACAACTAATCCAGATTTGAGCTGGGTTAGACCCTAATTGAAGAGAAGCTCTGTCAACATGATTTTTTTCATTTACAAGATTTGACACACGAGACCTTACTCCTAACATGATATTTTTCCATTTACAAGATTCGAACATGAAACCTTACTTGAGGTATGTTGACTGTCTTACCGCTCAATCCAGCCACCACCAGTGGGAAGTGACATTTTTTTTTTTTCATTGCACATCTCCTTAAAGATTTTTGGATGGATAAATTTTCTTTCTCTCTTGTTTTATTTCATCCTGGTTTTGAGTTTGAGCATAACATGCGTGCTATTGTGGATTCTCCTTTTTGTCATCCTTGACTTCTGCATTGCTGATTTACAGCTTGAACCGGAGGGCAAGCAGCCACGACCTTGACAATGAAGCCCTTGCATTTAAACCTGTTTTGGGCTCTATGCTTGCAAGGATATATCATAATCCTCAAAGCAATGAGGAATACAGGAAACGATTGCATCAAATGGTGGAGTTCTGGGCTTCTAAAGAAGTTTATGATCAAGAGACTATTTCTTTACTAAAGGGTGAGATGATTGGTGGACTACAAACAAATTCTTTTCCTGGGCCTTCAAAGGATTTATTATCCGCTTCATCAGATTCAGGTAGCTTTTACTCTAAAAGTCAATAAATACTCCTCATTTTTTAAAGTTGGTCAATATTCAAGAGATGCGATGATAATTGTTGATTTTGAAGTACCCTCCCCCATGAAAAAAATGCGACACTGATAACGTCTCTTGCATTAAGAATTTGTCTCCTCAAGTTTATTTTCTAGGCAAACTCTGTTGTTTCCTTGGTTTCACCGTCCATAAAACATAAGATGCTATTCTCTTGAGTTTTTCCTGACGTGTCAAATAAATGATAAAGCTGCAAAATTGTGATTCACACTCACAGACATCTATGATGCCACCAGTATTGGATTAATTTAGCCATTGCTTCTTAATAAACTTGGTTTGGTGCCTGCATAATCACTTGAGATTTTATTCTGTTTGGAAGATATTGTTGCCTTGAGATTCAGTTTATTTGAGTTAAGAATTTATTCATGATTCCTTCTCTCCTACTTGCAGGAATGTTGCAGCAGACTCCTAACCCTATTGTCCAGCAATGGCCATCCGATCGGCCAGTTTCTGGTTCAGGCATACCAGAGCAAGATCATCCTGAAAAGCATGCTGCTCTAGGGCAGTCCATGCCACCATCTATGGTACCTCAGCAGTTTCTTCCGAATTCTGCTCCTTCCGGTGCTTTCGCAGGGCCCATGGCCATTCCCTCATCAGTTCAACCAGCTAATCAACCGCTGGCTGCACATTTAATGTCTCCTCCACCTGCTGGCACTGGTGAGAAGTTACCGCCATATCCATTGTTCCCGCCCGGCCTTATTCCAGGAATGGTGAAAAAGATGCAGATTGGCAGTGGCGTTCCATATTCTCCTTTGAGTCCTTTAGACATCCCAACTGTGATACCACCGTCCACTGTACCACCATCAGATATTCTGCAAAGAGTCTCAAAGTTCTTTAAAGAAATTGGGGAGGTTAATCCTTCTGAAGGTCCAATGAAATCTGATTCAAGAGATGAAGAAGATGAGTATGAGAGAGACTATGAGAGGGAGCTGCCAGTGAGGAAGGGCGGTGCTTGTATCCCTCCACCCCCAAACTTGCAGGCAGATCCGGAGACAGGGATGTATGCTGATGGAAGTGTGGAGCGGAAACCGGGATCAAGCGGATCAGGGAGGCTAGGACTTGGTGCCACAGCCAATCCCAATGAGGTGAGTCAGTATGATGATGTATATACGTCCTACAGGAAGCAGAGAAGCACCACGTACCACTCCTCAATGAGTGCAAGAGGTGCAGCTAGATGAAAGCAACTTAATTTAAATATTATTGAGAAATTGGAAATGTAAAAGTGAGTGCATTAGACTAGGCATGTTTGTGATTTGGATCCTCTAAAGTTAGAGTACCTCCATGAACTAAAAGAGAGGGCGACACAAGAAATATCTGAGTTCTTGCTTTTTCCCCCCTTTTACACACTCATTCTCTCTCTCTCTTTGCTTTTGAAGCACTTTATAAACTTCTAACTACAGAAGATCTGAATCAGGTGTATGTGATATTTTTGTTGTTCATCCTTATTATTATTATTATTATTATTATTATTATTATTATTATTATTTTGACCAACTGTTGTTCATCCTTATTTGAAAGGGTGCTTGTGGAATTTACAGCTTTATTAGTACGCACAATTTTTTTTTTTTGGGCCACTAGGACGCACACCTTAAAACTTAGATGTCTCCTTTTTTTTGTTATAAATTTTAAAGTTCAAATTTCTGAATATAATTTCTTGCTATTAATAATCTGTTATTTCACCAACGAAATGTGTCACATTCGATGATCTATATACAACATTGCAACTTAAAGTTTAAAAATTAGAAACATTTTTTAATGGAAAAATTAAATAAGTTGGGTCATGGGGGCTTATTAGGTCACTTATCAGTAGTAAGATTTGATCAATGAATTTATAGGTTATGAGTCAAATTTTATCAATTGGATCAAATTTTGTTGATTATTATAAATATGTATTCTAAAATCTGAAACTAAGCACGTTTTTTGGCTTAAAGTCTGAAGGTTGAATTTATTTTCCATATACTTATAGGAAAATGGAAAATCAATTATAGGAAAATTGCAAATCAATTGATAACGATGAATTATTTATAAAAAATAAAAAATATTAATTATTAAATTTTAACATTTAAAAAATTATTTGTGCACTAAATAAAATTTAAGAGTTAATGATAAAATACAATAACATTATATACTGTAGTTAACCTTACTTATTAGGAGTGTGGGAGAAGGCTTATTGTATATAAATTTGAGAGACGGGTGTGATTTAAACTTAATTCTTACCCACCAAAACATTTGTTTATGTATTTCTTGTATGTAAGGACATTTGACTTCCAAAGCACAACAAATTATATAATATTCAAGGAGACAAAAATGTACGATGAAGCATAAATTATTTTAAGGGAAAATGAATTATTTGTGATGCTTATGAAGCACGTGGAAATGAGATTGTGAAAAGATAAGGATGGAGGCCCCAATGCTTGTCTTATATGTATCATCATTCATCGTCTAGGTTTGCCCCACTTAGATTCCATCTTTTTTATTTTATTTATGAAATTCATATTTTTCTCTTGTCATTTTCACTCTTTAGGTTACATTTCGTTTTCAAAATTTTGTAGTCATATGATATAAATTTTTATTATATATGTTCATGTTTAAAAAAAAAAGAAATTGGAGCCAACACACACATGCACAAATTAAATATAATTTTTACTAATTATCTCCTACTTTAATTTCATCTTATTTATGTACACTCAATGTATCAAAATACCCATATATCATCCACACACACATATTAATAAGTATTACTATTAAAAAATCATAAATAATACAATTCATTTTTCATACTACATGTGTACAATGGGAAAACACTCTTGCTTACCCTATATATGCAATGTGAGTGTATTATTATTAGTAGCAATAGCAATAACGATATCACATAGGAGCAACTTATCCAAACAATAGCACGTAGGAGCAGCAACAGGAGGAGCAGGCAATAATAGCATTAGTTGTTATTGTCTCCTCTCATCTTAATTTTGGGTTTATGTTTTCTTTTTTCTTTTTTTGGGTCATTTTGGGTTTTTTTTTTTTCTATTCGTTAGCCACACTTCAACCTGCTTTTTTTTTCATTAACCAAATTAATATTTAAAAGGAGACTTGGATCATTTTAATCTTGAATATTGAGTTTTTAACTCATCGTCAAAATTTTCATTTTGCTACAATTGTTTGACCTGATATTAATATGGAAACTAAAGTTGAAGTTTATATTTATTTTGGCCAGATAAAGGTAAAATTTATATATAATAATATATTTTAAAAGTATAATTTTTTTTAACAGGGTATACTTTTAGGGAGAATGACAATTAGCTCCCAAAATATTGAATTAATATTAGTTAAGTTCCTAATAAATTTTTTTAAAAAAATAAGTTAAAAATGTCAATCCTAATTATTATAAATTTATGAGTTTCAATTGTAAATAAGTATAATATCAAATATAATTTTGAGACTGTAACAAAAAAATTTGTTTGAAATTATATTTATAATTTATTTTACAAAAGTCTTTATCGAAGACTTAACTGTCATTACTTTATTCTTTTAGAATCTAACTGTCATTCTCCCTACTTAATTTTTATAAGAAAATTTGGATATCAAAGCAGTCATATTAAGCTAAACTTCATATTCAAGGAAATTATAAGGTTTGTAAATGAGGCCCAAGAGAGACGAAATTGGGTTAAATGAAATTTTTACAAATAATGCTGAAAATAAATGAGTTTAGAGAACGAATAATATCACCAAATAATTGAAGAGTGAGAGAAAGAAGAGTGTAGTGGTATTTATCTTAGTTAAATTCCAACAACTTAAACCTACGTCTAATCCTCAAGTTTCATTTGATATTTTCTCTATTAAGTCTACCAAAATTAATTCAATCCCTTGGCTGTTTTAATACAATCCCAAACAAGTTTGAATCACTCCCCCTTATCAAAGTAATGATTAACCCCATTTTAGCTCTCTAAACTTAAGTCATTTGTTCTCAAGTATAAAAAATAAAGATAAACAAAGTAAGTTCATAAAATGAACTTCTACAATGAAAACTCTCTCGAAGAGCTGATATATAATTAATGAAGTGTGAATATAATAAATGTAATCATAGAAGGTTGATAAGTAATGAATAAGGTAGTTTGCATAACGACACTTTTATGTCCATCTTCATTATTGAAGTCAATTAAAGATCCATTAGACTCATCAAATTAGTCGTTAGAGTGTTGAGCTTATTTTCTCTAAGTTGCTCTAGAAATAAGAGTGTTAAACAATGCTTTATGATGGAGATTTTCACACACAACAAGAGAAGTAATAAATGTCTTAATGTATTTAATGCTTTAATAAAAAGTAGGTAAAATGAATACTGATAGAAAAAACACAATAGGGTAACAAAGAATTGGAATAAGATAAAACTTTACCCAAAGTGTGTTTTAAAATGATTTTTCTTCAATGAAATGATTACACAACACTTAGTAATGGATAGGAAGGATTAAATCAAAGAAATAAAAGTTTATTGAATTAGCTTTGAAAAACGAAGTTTCGTAACAAGATATTAATACTAGTAGTGTGAGTTTAGTATTGAAAGTGTCATTGTAAAACTCATTAATTTTTCAAAGGAATTAATAAAGGTAGTGGGCTTTGAATATCAATAGTGGCAGGTGAATTCTGGTAGTGATAACACAATATAGGTAGTGGTTCAAAAGGTTAGAATAATGAACAATAGGAAAAGTGTCTGATCAATACAGGTGGTGACGATGATGCCAATAATGACTTGTTAATATCGTATTGTTATATGAATAAAGAACAGGTAACTATGAGCTTCAATATTGATAGAGGAGGGGTCTAATACTTCTAGAGATGTATGACCTCAAAGAAGCTTAATACCAATAGTGGGATCTTACTATTGAAAGTCAAGGGATACAAAAAGAATTTAGCTTTGATAAGAGTATGGATATTGTCAATAACACTACCCATAAAAGCAAGGATAAATCAAAGGCTTAGAATAGAAAGGGCTTAATAGTATCAACATAATACTTGTAGTGATACTCAGAGAAAATTAAAATAAGAGATTAAAGCAAAGTAGTTGTTTATACCTGACTTCTCCCTTTCTAAAGACAATTATGTACCCATTAAATAAAATCTTCTCTAATTTGTTATCATCAAAACTAAGGGTTGACCCAATATTTCAACTTTTTTTTATAATCACTTACTCTTTTCTCTTCTTTTAATTATATGGTCATCTTTATATTATTAAAACATATTTAAATTATACATGTTTTCCTATATTCGTTACCAGGAATGTGATGAATGAGTTAAAATGTATGATACTATATGGCTTATTTTTCAAATATGACTCACCAAAGATGTGATACTATATGTTGACGTTTCATAAAATTAAAATACCAACAAATCACACCCCTAGGAATAATATTAAATTATTTTATTAAAAATATAACTTATTAAAATGACATCTTTCAGCTTTTAGCTTTTACTTTATTATTTATATTATTCGTTTGTGATCAAAGTTATATGGTTTATTTAACTTACATTTGGAAAAAAGTTCTATACTTTTTTTTAACTTTTATTCACATTAAATGGAAAAAATTTGTGTGTGATATTTTTTTTTTTGGTTGCACCAAAAGTTAATGGAATGCATTTTTGCCAGAACATGACTTCTAACAAATGTAGGTCTTATTTAGGCAACAATATAGAGATAATGGGAAATATAACTTTAATCCCTGCACTTTGTTCGAATTTTATTATAAATTCTTATATTTTTTTTAGTATTCTAACCACCCTACACTTTATTTTTTTAATATTTTATATCACTCTATGAGCGATTTTAGGAATCTAGAACAGCAAAAAATAAAAGTATAAGAAACTAGAACACTAAAAAAAAGTATAGGAACTTATAGCAAAACTCAAGCAAAGTGCAAGGACTCATCTTTCTATTTTTGTTAGATTAATTCACTATTTAAAATGATGCAATTTTGTTTAGAATTTTAGCATATTTTAATTGTTGAGTGTGATAAATCGTGCAAAAAACAACAATTAAATCATCAAAAAACTTAAAAGGTTAAGCTATGTTTGGTTTGAGAGTAGAGGAGGGGAGGGTAATGTTTTTGTATTGCCTTGTTTGATTTTGTTGAAAGAGAAGTGAGATGAGGAATTTTTAATGATCTTTTATTTTGTTTAGAAGGGGATGGGAGAAAAGCTAATAACTATTTACTATTATACTCATATATACTATTTATTTCATTTCAAATTACAAGACACATTTAGATAAAATTATACGTATTAACAAAGTTTATTAAATACACTTTACAACTTTATTTTTTTAAAGTAAAAATATAAATTTTTAAAAATATCATTCATTTAATAATCTATTTGTAAAAGAAAATTAAGAGAGACATTATATAAAAAAGTAACATTAAAAAATATCATTAATAATATTTTATTTTTATCAAAATATTTTATATTTTGAAATATCAAATTTCTTTTCAATTAAATGAAACAGTATA